TACCTCTCAAAGTGCCTACTACACTGTTACTGACATTTGACTAGCTTGTCTCTACTTGCAAACTAGGCTAGCTGATCACTTCCGATTTTTTTGGACGTTTACCTTTTGATACACAGAGCTTATCTCTAACGGGGATTGGTCTCAAAATCCCTCAATTATATTCAGAAATCCAAACATACTGCAGAATTGGCCATTCACAGCTAAAAACCGATGTTTTCCATACTTACTGTATCACACAGACTAGTTATGATGCTGTGGATGACCCAGAAACATTTGATATTATGTATCCTACCCCTATTCCACACCACACCACAATCACACTGCATTTGTGAGAGATCTGGGTTGTATATGCCCCCAATACTACCTGTGCACCTGCTCCCCCATCAAAAACATGGTTTTACTTTTTCCACTGTCCACCAGCAGCGGTTCTGGTGCTTGTTTAATGTTTATATATATTTAAACCAAATTACCACAACGAGAACAGTGGAAAAAACGCGTAAATTGGTGTTTCTGTGATTATACTGTGGCCCAATACACTGTTTTACCCCCACAGCGCTCCACAATTAGTGCAGGACCATTTTGACTAATGTTGCACCATAGATCGACTTTCCAAACATCAAATGTTATTTTCCAATCATCACTTCAACACCACCAAACATTCTAACCATGGTAATACCACAAGGGTAGATGTTCTCCTGCTCCTGCTCCCCTAAACGTGGCATCACTACCAAGGCCATAATCATTGTCTTTGTGTCCTGCATGCTCTCCATCACTTAGTATTGACATAGGCCCACCCATGACAGCAAAAACAAAGGCAATCTAACCGCTATATCCCCAATTCTGGCCTGCCCACCTCCTTTTACCTTGATACGGCAATATCTTGCTGACCATTTACGCTATACCTTCAGAACAAATGGACTGATTCCTTCCAAATTCGATTTCTATCATCTTCTACATTTATCAATGTTTGTCAAATAGTCAGAACCTCCAAAATTGGCCTCCTTCATGTTGCCAAAATCAGGCCACAATTCACATTTTATATGTCAATTCCATCAAAATGACACTTGGCAATGCAATCTGTTTGTTCTAATTCACAAAACTCACAAAGTTACCAAAATACCCCCAGATCACCTCATTTCCCCTACCGATCTATCTCAAGGTATCCAGTACCCCTACCCTACTATTTTTCTGTGTTTTTATCAGCCACCATTCTGTCCCTATTCACCCTGTGATCATCCCTGCCCATATTCCCTATTTTATCCATGAATAACCCAGCCCGTTTCAACATATACACTCTATCTACCCGCTGTACCCATTCTCCAGTATACCTACTCCATTCCCTACCCCATCCCTACCCCCAGGACCACCCCCGTATGCCCTACCCCAAGGATCACCCCCGTATGCCCTACCCCATCATCCTGGTCCACTCGGCCACCCAGAATCACCCCCCGGCCGCCCCAGTAGCCAGCCCAGTACTGGCATTTATAATTCTTGGGCCAGAAGAACTTTTGTAAATTCTATCCTTACTAGCAGGTACCTTTATAAATGGCTTACATCTACGCCAGCCTGAGCATCATTATATTCTTCTGTCCAGTAGTCGTAGTCTCCATATTCATCTTTATTGGCGTATGGATTCGCTAGGCCTGGCTACCTTATCATCATCAACACTTCACCATGCCATTTCAGCCCAAGATGTTCTCTGATAGACTGTTCTCCGGGGCGGCCAGATCGTAGGTGTAGTATATGTCAAAGCTTTGCATGCAGCCTTATAGATATTCGTCAATACAAATGGTGATCTTGTGAACTT